GAGAGTTTAGTTTTGTGAGATATCTTGGTTTCTGTAATACTAGCGATGGAGATATTATGATTAGTACAGTAGTCTTCTCATATTTGTCTTTTGGAGGCAACATTAAAGCCTCTAACATTATGGGTAGCAATAGTGAGGTTTAATTTGTGGATATAGGGCTGATTAAGGATAGACTGAGTTTGTATATATATAGTTGGATTAGAAATATTCATTGATGGATAGGAGGATTTAAGCTTTAGTTTGTAGAATTTAGAAAGTTCTTCAATAGGTATGTAGGTAGAATGACCAAAGAGGATCTTTTCATGAGGAAGGTATATATGCCCTTCTGCAAAAACAGTGTCATAAAAGGGGTGTTGCTTGATGGTAATTTGGATGTATTGGTTGGAGTAAAATATTAAAAAATGTTTACGAATAATTTGAAGGAAGGTTCCTATAGTCTGAGGTGCAGAAAAGCTGGGTAGTCTGTGATAGTGAAGGAACTTATTGTAGTATGCATTGGGTTCAGTGTAGTTGTCTATATTAAATGCTCCAGTGGAAAATCTTTGATTATATAGGTTGGGGGATGGAGTTAGTTTATTGTTAGATTCTTCCTCAAGAAAGGTATTATTGTCTTTGAGAAGGTCATTGTTGAGAAAGAGTTCAAGGGTTTGTGTGTTGTTAGTAGGAGGATTGAGGTTTTGTATCTCGGAAGGAGGTAGTAAAATGGGGTCCGAGATAGTTAAAGAAGTATCTTCTGCAACGGTCACTGTATACCCAGCTAGCATGGCTCCGCAAGATTTGGAAGCTCTTAGGTTAAATGTTAGAAGGCCGTCGTGATCTAAATCTTTTGGGTAATCATAAAAAATATATTTATATTCAAAAATATAATATTATTTTAAATATATCTAAAATTGTATATATATTAAATTTATTTACAGATATACTAAGTCTGTTTAAATATATTAATAATATTAAATATTATAAAATAAAAGTTGGGGCAAATTTTATTTGTAAAATTAGAAATGAAAGAGAAACTCTTTAGATAGTTCATATTGACAAGAAAATAATATTTGAGATATTTCTGTTTTAGTTAATTAATATGAAGAAAATACTAACTCAGATATTTGGAAACATACAGAACCAAGTATTAAACAAAAAAAGAAAAAAGGACTAGGAAGAAGAAAAAGTGAAAAAAAAGCATCGAAAAAGGCAAAATCCAAAAAACCTACTTCTCAACCCAACAAACAACCATAGTCAAAACGTCTGAAGGGCCCAAAGCTGAAAGGCAAAAAAACCCAAAAGGCATAAGTGTAAACAATATTTCTTCTTTGAAGTATTTGTCTATGTATGTTTGGAAAAGTTTAAATTGTGGTGCTAACTTCCAACTTACCAAATACTGTTCCTTTCAGCAATACCAAAAAGGCTGGCAAGAAATAAAGAAACAATTCAAAAATAGTTTAAATAAAGCTAAAACGAATGATGTATCTTTATTTTATGTAAACGAAAAAATTTTAAATTTTAGCTTTGATATAGTATCTCATCAAAGCATTAATAAAATAAATAAAAATAATTTTCAAAACAAGTCAAAATTTGGTATAAATAAAAAGCTTGAAAAAGCTTTTGATTTTTTGGTTGAGAATAATTTAGTAGTAATATGTGCAGATAAAAATATGGGACTTACTATAATGGATTTTGACTAGTATGATTATCAAGTCAAAAAACATTTAGGTAATAAATCTGTATACTTAAATATGGGAAGAAACTGGGCTTTAAATACAATTGGTCTATGCAGAATTATTTGCAATTATCGAAAATTGCAAATTGGAGCATGTAAAAAGAAAAGCTTGGACAAATTATTAAATATCAATTTAAATGATGAGTTTCTCCCATCTTACTTTTATATACTTCCAAAACTACATAAAAATCCTATCTCAAGTCATCCTATTAGTCCAAGTTATTCCTGGATTACTAGTAACATATCTAAATATTTGGGAAAAAAATGGTCAAATCATTTACATAGATGTAGTTATATTTTTCTAACTCAATTAAACTTATAAACGAAGTAGAAAAATTGAAGTTACCAGTTACTGCTAGTTTGTATACGTGGGATATTAGTAGTATGTATACAAATATAGATCTAGACGATTTGTATATAAGGCTAGAAAAAATGTTACTTATGTTAAAAGTACCTAAAACAATCGTCGATTTTGATATTAATTTATTAAAATAGATCAACTCAAATTCTTTCATCAAATATCAAAATATTTGTATAAACAATATAAAGGACTAGCTATGGGTAGCTTGGTCTTACCAGCCAATTTGTATATGGAAAGAATTCTCATCGATGCATTTGGCCCTCTTGATAATAAAATATTTAATAGTGTTTTATACATAAGGTTATATCTAGATGATGTTATTGCAATCTTAGATGATGCCTATAGTTGCAATTTCGTGGCTAATAGGATTGAAGCTTGTACTATTCCTTCAAACTTCGAGTTAGAAGGTACCTGTGCAAATAAAATTAATTTTCTAGATTTAGCTTTAGAAATAGGTATTAGTTTGCACGAGGATGCCAACTATAATTATAGATACATGTTGGTTTCTCTATATAATAAACCAACTAATGTCTATGCTTACACAGATACTCAATCCTTTTATCCATATAATTATTGCTACTCCTGGATACAAGGTAAAAATATTCGTCTTATCCATAACTCTGGTGACCTTAAATCTTATAATAATGCTTTACATGAATTTAAGTTTTTTTAAGAAATAGGAAATATCCCATAATTGAAATTAATAATTTTCTAAGTAAAAATAATTATAACCAGAGAGAAGTATTACTAAAGATACTAAAATATAAAGATAATGAATTTATTAATAAAGTCGACTTTATATTACCTTTAAATAATACTCCAGAAAGAGTGATACTTGTTAAAATGTTAAAACAAGTTTTAAAAATATATAACTGCAATGCTTCAGTACAGCCTAATCGAGTACTTAGAATTGCATTACCTGTTAGAAGCGGACAAGCAAAAATTGATATACTAAATAAAGCAAAAAAGAAGGTTTTACATACTCTTCTGTAAAGAGAGTAAGTTTAAAGTTTAAAGTTAAAAATATTGAACTATTTAAAATAGGACAATATAGTAAAATCGTAGAGAAAGAAATTTAAAATAAAGGATGAGGCCCACTTCTAACAAAGTGAGAACCCCTACCCTAACCCCTATACTAACCCTAACTATAAAAAACAATAGTTTCAAAATAATTGTTTTAATATTGTTTCTATATTTGGTAATATTAATTTCTAATTAAGGATAATTTAAGCCTAAATAAGTATAAATTAAGTCTAAATATAGTATAATTAATTTTTAAAAAAGAAAACAATATATTCTTTTCTAAATAACCCTAAATTAACCCTAAATGGTTAAGATATAATATATATATATATATTATTTTTTTTTTTTTTTTTTTTTTGTGTTTTAAGGTGACCTCTATAGCCAGGAGGCTTTTTATTAGATAATTAACAACGTTACAATTATGATGAAGGTACAACTAGCCACACGTACAACTTTTGGTTGTCTATTTTAAGTGGTCCACCTGAGTTCTACACTAGCCGCTATACCTGCAATCTAACTAGGAGATTATCTATTTAAGCTCTCTGACTATTTACAAGTGAGAGTACGACTAGCCATACCTGC